ATTCAAAATTTACTCAAATGTTTGGTTGAGGCATAGCTGAAATTTTTTAACACTGTCACTAACCGCTGATTTTAGCCAAAAGTTTTAAACTCACTACGAGATTATTCTCTCAAGAATGCCGATTAATGGTTAACACTCGAAGTATAAATAACTCTTGATAACAATATTTTTATAATTATTTACATAATTATTTTAATATTTAAAATTTAGTAAAAGTTATTTTTGACTAAATTTTTATAATAAAATTAAAACCAAAATAAACTTAACATAAAATGTGTGTCAATTATTGTGTTAGAAACACATGTCTGGCAATGAAAGTGATTGAATGCGGTAAAAACTAATATACTGCACAGTAAACTGTAATAAATAAAAATGATCATGTAGCTTATTCATAAAACAGTATTAATAGAAAAATTATTGGTAGTATTGCTACAATAGTTTAATTATGCACAAAATAATTAAATTTTTAATTTTTGTTCACTATTAATACATTTTAAAAAATATATAACATTTAGATTATTTTTTACCATCCAGGGATGTGATCAACGAGACGGCACAGGCGCTGGCCCTGCAAAACAGCAACACTGGTTCACTCAACACAAACAACAATAATAATAACCAGAATAATCCCAATGTAAATTTTAACCCTGCTCAACAACAGCAGCACAATAATAATAATAATAACTTCCCAAATAATAACCATAATAATAATAATAATTTTCCATTAAATAACCAACATTCATTTCCACAGAACACCGGGGGAGGAGGAGGTGGAGGGGGCAACACAAATGGTGGGGGACATCAACAACAGGGTGGCCAACAATTCCCGCAAAATCAGCAACAATTTCCGCAAAGAAACCAAAATAATTAAATGCTGAACATCGAGGGCTATTTGACTATTAATTATTATGATGATTATTTACTGAGTTTACCCATTTTTTGTAGTGTCAATGGCAATTTTAAATTTTTGAAATGTTTTAATGTTACTATGTTGAATAAAATTCTGTTATGTTATTGTTAAGCAATATAGTTTATTAATGTGAGTATTAATTATAATTACAATTACTTGTTTAAATATAATAAAAGTGATATGCAAAAAATCAAATTTGCATTAAAACACAATTACATCAAACCTATGGTTAATAAAAATAAAAGTAATTAAAACTTTTTAAAATTCACTACAAATAAAAGTTAGACAAATATTAACGTTTGTACATCGCCAGATGTCATTACTATTACCATAAGTATTTTATAATACAAATCCAATTAAGATAATAAAAATTATTATTAAAACATTAATAATTAAACGATTAAACGATTATAAAAACACATTCAATTCCTGGCCTCGAGTCGGACAGAAATCCCGTTTCTCGGGGACAAGGAAAACAGTTTGAACTCTAAATCTAAGCCACCAATAGGTTCAGTCTTATCTCCGGGAACAACCTTATAATTGAGCAATAATTTGGCCAAAATGATCTTGATCTCGAGCACCGAGAACCTCTTCCCGGGGCACATCCGGGGGCCCACACCAAAGGGTTGATACACATAGGGATTAACCGACTTTAGACTATTGCCCATAAATCTATCTGGGTTAAAAACATCAGGTTCTTCCCAGTACTCCGGGTCCCTATGGAGTTGATAGGTGGGCACACGTATGTCCACACCGGCCGGTAGTGTTACCGACCCGTACCGGTAGTCACCGGCCGGCGAATGGCTCATAAACAACGGGTCGGTCGGGAATATGCGGAACGCCTCCATAATGACCGCATCGGTGAACGGGAGTCTATTTAGGGACTGGTAGTCCATGTGTGTAGGGTTGCCATCGGAGTCCACCAACTCGTCTCGCAATTCCTGGTATACGCGGCGCTGTAGGTCGGGTTGGTTGACGAGATGGTGAAATATAAAACCGAGATTATTGGCCGGCGATTCAAACGCCGCCTCATCGATGGCTATGGCGTTGGCGACGATTTCCGTTTTGCTAAGCCTATTGGCCGCTATCATCAGCTCCAGTACGTCCCGGTACGGGCCGGTACTGCCGCCCCGTTGGGTGAGCCTAGTGTTGACAATTTTCTCGACCGATTCCCAGAGCAGCACATCCTGATTGAGGCCCAACTTATCGCACACCCTCTCAACGATATCCCTGACAGCGTTAATGGCCAGCGACAGCTCCGGAAGGCACAGCACCAGCGAGGCTAACATCTCGCTAGTTTTGGCCGCCAGTGTAGCCCTATGGGCGTCCATCAGGGTGTTTGTATCGCCGGTGGTAGGGGTGTTATCAGTAACTTTTTGGGCACCGGTATTGACCCCGAACGCTGTCCGGTGTATGGCATCCATGGTTACCCCCTCGAACACCCGGTATAGGTTAAACTCTTGGTTACTTTGGGCTAAGGGTGCGACCAGTTTAACCATGTCGTCAGCGCATTGTACTATAGTCGGCACCATTGACTTGAGCTGTAGCGATGAGAACCAGGGGCTCATCGATTGTCGCATAGCGCGCCACTTGTCTTGATCTACACGGTTTACCTGGGTGATTTTGAATGGAGCATAGTTGTTTATTATTATGTTGCACCATTATAACATAAAACTTTTTTGTTAGTAAATAATACATTGTATTCACTGAATATATTTAATAGTAAACTATTTTAATAAAATGTTTTAATAATCAGGTGGTTTATATGATTACTCGGATTGTTTTAATAATACAAACTTTAACTCATTATTAAATATAAAATATAGCACATATCCAATATAATCTTTACTATGATGTAATGTAAAATTAAATGATGTAAAATAATTACCACGTTTTTGATAATCCAAAATATCAAATTGAAATATAAATTTATACCCTATATAACTTTATAAAAAAATAAAATACAGTTTGACAAGTTGTAAAAATTATATTTCTATTGAAACAATATAATTGACAATACAAGAACGACTTCCCCGATATTATATATTTAATTTTAAATTTATATGTGTTATATTTTATATTAAATAATGATTTACAGTTTGTAAATTTCCTTTAATTTTAAAAGTCAACCTTATCAAATAAATTAATGTATAATTGTTCAATGTATTTAATAATTTGTTTATGCAATAAATTAAAAAATATAATTAATTATATTTAAATGCTAGCAATTAAATAAAATTAAAATAATAAAATAATTTTTATTAATTGCACCCTTAATTATTGTAAGTTTCATCTAGCATTTAATCTATTTTATTTACCTATTAGCTTATTATAGTAATTAGAAAGTTACAAATTAATCAATTACCTGTTGGTGAAACTTTGGATTCCTATACAAACCACCAGGGACCACGTAGGGGCGATCAAAAAAGTGATTAAACTCTTTTACCTCGATCACTTTGAGCAGCTCCGGATCGGTGATCACCACAAAAGGTTTAGCGCCCAAATAGTAGCCAAATATTTTACCATGTTGCTTTTTCCAGCGCTCAAAACAATCGTTATAACCACGGGTATAATATTCGTACATATTGCCCATGATCAGGTGTGGTCGGGGCCCCGGTATGCCATTGCGTTCAAGTAGTGACATACGCCTAAGCCGTTGCCAGTACCATGTTAAAATTATTATGGCAAATCCAAATGCAAGTAATGTTGGCAACATTATATTTTACAGGTATGTAAATTAGAGTACAAGTATTAACTTGGTTATAAAATTAAGTTTGTTACTAGGGAATAATTTTTATTTTTGGTTATTGCTGTCAATAATTTGGAGTTATTATAAACTCTTGTAAACTCTATGCGTGCAAAATATTGTTTGTGTACTTTTATATGTGAGTTATTTTTATCGCTAAATTAAACATAACTTGTTTTCTTCAAGTTTCTATCGGTTAGAGAGAGAGAGAGAGAGAGAGAGAGAGATGTGGAGTGATTGGATGGTAAGGTAAGAGTGGTATNACCCAGGTAAACCGTGTAGAGAGAGAAAGAAAGAAAGAAAGAAAGAAAGAGAGAGAGAGAGAGAGAGAGAGAGAGCTGTGAAAGAAGCTGGAGAGAGACTGTTATCTAGTTTGATATTAACGTAAATAAATACAAATATCAACACATGGTTGAAAACATTTTATTTTATGATATGATTTATAAATACCGATAATATTTGACCAGAAATTGATTTGAAAACTTAATAAATAACTACACATTTAATTGATATCCAGGACTTTGTATACAATATTGTGGTACATTAACTTATATCATCAATAAATGTTACAAAACAAACTTTTAATTATTGATAATTAAGAGATGCAGAAAGATCTACAAATGAATTGTGATTAAAAATAATTGTGTTATGTATTACATCTTTCATAAATGTTACAAAACATACTTTTAACTAACTTATACATAATTATACAATATGAATGTTTTTACAGTTACAAAACACAATAATTTCAATTTTTAAACATTTAATATTTGTAATAAAAATATTGGGTCATTTGGATTTGTTCAGGCCTAACTGTCTTCTAGTGTAGATAAAATTATGAAAATGGTATCATAATTTAAGTTGACATTCCTAGGCACTAGAAACGAAGTTTCATTAAGATTGGTTGATTAATGTTTATACTAGAAATTTTTAAAATGTGTCAATTGGGATTATTTTTATAAATTTGTGCAAAAATATTTGGTGAAAAATTATTACATTTTTAAAGTTAAAATATTTTTACAAAATACACGTTTCAAGTGATTATTTGGATATTGATTTTAACAATTAGTTATCCGACAATAGTTTTAACAAGATTTCATGACATTAACTATAATGAAAATCAAATGCGAACCGACCGAACACAGGCCGCCAATCGGGTTGACTACCGATAAAGATGTGGTCACAGCTGGGGTATCGGTCAATGTTGGCCATTGAATAGCATATCATTAAATTCGGTAAACATGAAAGATTTCAGAAGAGGAAGGGTTTTGTATTATCTCTATTATTGTTTAAGCATGATTAATTTTAGTCTAAAATTGCACGTCAATAAATACTGAAATAGTCACTCTCCCATAGGATTACATTATTTTGGCAGGTGTCATATAAAATATTCCTGTGCCATAAGTATTAATGGGAATTTTATGAAACTTGGTTTCTGGTGCCTAAGAATGTTAATTTAAATTATGATATTATTTTCATAATTTTAGCTACACTAGAAAGCAGTTAGGCCTGAACATTGTCAAATGACCTAATATTTAATATATTAGTGAATGAAATAATAATATAATGTTTGATATTATATTGAATAAACAAAATTTGGGTATTATGGGTGATTATTTTCCCCAAAAATACAATTATTTACTTATTACTAATTAACTAACAAATATAAAGTTAATTATAATTTAACACTTTATAATTATCTAAACAACTCTCTTAATAAACTTAACCGATTATTATACCGATGTAGAATAGCAGGGTAATTAGCACTGTTAACTCTTGATCTAGTAGAATTGCAAATTATTAATCTTTTATTGTTTACTTTTAACAACATTTTATTATTATTAAACTTATATTTGATAAACAATTGTGTGAATAGATTAGTGAACATAAGTACTGATACACCAAACCTAAAAATATTTAAGTAATTTTTAAATGTTTTAAATGTCGCAAATTTTTATATAAATATTTTATTTTGACTTAGTTTTTTCGATTAAACATTTTAATTAAACATTTAACAAATTAAATTTGAAAATAATATTATCTATTAAATTATTACAAACAAATGACATTAGAAAAATAAATTTTATACATTGGATTTATTATGTTTAATTAATTATATACATTAATTGAATAAAAGTAGCATTTATTACACAAAGTCAGTGTACAACAAAATTGGGCGACACAACATGGTGTCTGCGGGGTATACCGGTGCCAAATGAGGGTCGTTTACGAGTCCCGGGAGACGGTATCGATACCACAGTCATTGTGCTTAGCCTCACATCATAATCACATTTTGTAACCCTAAACCGCCACCTATAACTCACATACCCGTAAACAGCCTGAGCTATATTGGGCACCATAACCAGGGCTACGCCAAAGTGTATGTTCAACGCCGAGGCCAGGTATGAGAGAAACTCTTCCAATTGGACAGTTGGCGAGTGGGTGTACACCAGATCGGGCTCGTGGGGCGGCTCTATCGTTAAAAAATAGTGGTGACTCGGGTTGGGAAACCGCTTGACACGTGCCCAGTACCGCTCAGCATCACATTCAACATGTAGTCCGCATAGACTGCGGCACTGGGAGGCTATCGGCCCGTCAAACTGGTCCTGATATTTAAATCTATTGGCCAGTGTATCGTCTATGGGCTGGTCGGACAAGTGATTGTCCGTCAGATACATACCCGGCCAGCCATTGGTTACGTTTTGCTGTAATATTAGCGATAGTCGACAGTCATCTATGCAATCGCGCCGGGATTTGTAGTTAATATCCCTAATAATTTAAAGGATATATATACTATTTATTTAAATATATTTATTATTTACATAATTTATAGTTTAATTTAGACAATTAAGTAGATAATCCAGGTAGTCAAATAAATTATGAAAAACCTAGACTATCTTAGATTATTAACTAAACTATTGCATAAAATAATTATTAATTAACTATCTTGATTAATAAATAAGTAACTAATATTGATTAATTAGTAATTATTTTTATTAGTGTCATTAACGTACCTAAAATTGATGCATTCGGTTACATATGGTTTTGGCATTGAGTGTTGAATCAACTTGCTATACTCAATATAATGTACATAATGTAGACCATTGGGCGCCAATCGCCTAGGTACTTCCACAAAGTCCTCGTTGTAAAAATTGCGTATAGGCCGATCCCGGGCGTGAATAGCCACGTACAGTTTGGACACGTTGACATAATTGGCCGGTGTTACCCTGATTACTACCATTGCCCGTATCAAATCGCGAAACACATGATCGTTGCGAAATGTGTACCTGGCTTGGTTTACGGGTCCAGCCGGTTGGGCAAAGTGCGTGAAACAAGTTCTAATTAATTTGAATATGAACTTAAATTATATTTTTTAAATTTATTTTTATTATAATGTTATACCTGTTATAATCTACAGCTTGTTTAATAGGGCTAATTGCTGAACAATTTACGTATAATGAGTTGCCGACACCCGGCGGTGTTTTTATCGCTGACAGTCCGCTCGTCCGCAGCACTAAACACATGCTGAACACGTCGTTGTGTCCGTACAAGTGTTTAAACTGTTTACTAATCGGGAGTCTATCGAATTGGCGATGAGTGTCAGCACCCGTCGCAATATAATCTGCGCGAATCATTTCGTGTTTGTCCAAACATATAGTGATCGCCGGCACCGATACTATTGATATATTGCTGTAATTGACGAACGTGGTGGTTTTGTATGAGAAGTATGTCTGGCTGAGTTGGTACACGTTGAATGTGCAACATAATAAACATAGTAACCAGTATACGCGCCGGAAATTCCGTTCAAACTTGGTGTATTTAAATTTGGCTTGCATGGTTAAACATGAAATATCGTTTATACAATTATCACGAGTAATTTGTAAGCTAATATTATATTTTATATAGCAATAACAAAATTCTTATTTAATAAAATAATTATCATGTTTATCATGTGAGTATTAATAATAAAATATAATGAAAAATATATTGATCCAGATATTTACATAAACTAAACGAAATACTTTATTGTTATTGAATTAATTATATTTAGTTCGAATAAATTTATAAATATGCACTATATTATAAATCCTTCCTATGACAATCATATAAAATTAATTCAATGTTAATGTGTTATGTATGCAATTTATTTATTTGTTAAATTATCTAGGACAGATTGAATCATATAAATAATATCACATGCCTTTGAGTTTACTTTATACTCCATTCAATGTAAGCACTTTAAGTTATATGCGTATATAATAATTAATTTACATTTTAAAAATAAATTGTATAAATTTATTTTATTATTCTAAATTAATTATATACATTACTTAAATAAAGGTTACATTTATAACAAACATGGTCAATGTAAAACAAAATTGGGCGACACGACATAGTGTCTACGGGGTATACCGGTGCCAAACGAGGATCGTTTACTAACCCCGGGAGGCGGTACCAATATCACAGTGATTATGTTTAGCCTCACATCATAATCACATTTGGTGACCCTAAACCGCCACCTGTAACTCACATACCCGTAAATAGCCTGCGCTATATTGGGCACCATAACCAGGGCTATGCCAAAGTGCATGTTGAGGGCTGAAGCCAGGTATGAGAGAAACTCCTCCAATTGGACAGTCGGCGAGTGTGTGTACACCAGATCGGGCTCGTGGGGCGGCTCTAACAGTAGGAAATATTGGTGGCTCGGGTTGGGAAACCGCTTGACACGAGTCCAGTACCGCTCGGACTGGCACTCGGCGTGTAGTCCGCACCGTTGCCGACACGTTGTGAGCTAATATTAGATTTTATATAGCAATAACAATATTTTTATTTAATAAAATAATTATAATGTTTATCATGTGAGTATTAATAAGATAATAATATTATAATAAAAAATGTATTGATCTAGATATTTGCATAAACTAAACAAAATTCTTTATTGTTATTGAATACATTATAGTTTTAGTTAGAATATTTCTGATTTAAATAAATGTTTAAAAGTATGCACTATATTATAAATCCTACCTAGGACAATAATATCATTTTAATTTAATGCTATTTAACAATTAATTATTTTATAATGAATTTAATTAACATGTTACCCGTAACCAAACATAACCAAAATTAACCTAAACTAATTTAGACCCAGCTTTGAAAAGCTAGTATTGGTGTTAAATACAACTTTATTTATTAGAGCATAAGTTTAAGTCTATATTTGATGTTTTTAATGAACATTATATAAGACTAGATATAAAGTGACATTGATTTAAGAGACATATTGTGTTGCCGAATTTTGTTATACATTAACCATGCGTAATAAATGAAACCCTTATTCAATTAATGTATATAATTAAATAGCTTTATAAAATAAAATGCCATTTATTTTTTTAAATGTAAATTAATTATTTAATCTTAAAGTGCTTACATATCATGGAGTATAAAGTTTAAAAAAAGACAGGTGATATTATTTATAAGATTTGCTCTAAATAATTTATCTAGTACATAAAGTGCATATTATCTTGACCATTGTCAATGGTCCATTGAATTAATTAATTATAAATTAATTAATTGTTCAATAACATTGAATTAATTTAATATTATTGTTCTGGTTACAAAAATTTTTTCCAATGTGACACACTTATATACTTTGTTATTGAGTAGTCGAAATGTTTGATATTAACAGTTTTCAATCACTATAACTTA